GTACTGTAGGCAATAATATTATGTGCGCAATGTGGCTTGTGCGCAATAGTTTAGTGTATGCAAACGTACGTCCGTCTCTTAATTTTTCATTTGTGCACAATAGAACTTGTAAGCAATCTTACTGTAGGCGATAATTTTTGTGCGCAAACGTGCATTCGTCTCTTAATTTTTATTTGTGCGCAATAGAGCATGTAGGCAATCATACTGTAGGCAATAATATCATGTGTGCAATGTGATTTGTGCGCAAGTGTCGTGTGTGCAAACGAGCGTTCGGCTTTTATTTTTTTATTTGTGCGTAATACAACTTGTAGGTAATTGTTCTGTAGACAATAATTTTTATGTGCAAATGAAATGTGGATAAGTTGAATGTCAGCAATCAATACTGTAGGCAATTAATTTGTAGCAAACAGGACCTTCCCGAATTTACTTATACGATAATTTTGTTGACGAATGTACTTAGCGTGTTACACTTTTTATAAAAAGACGATAGAAAAACACCCATTTTTAGCGTAACCACTTGACGATAGATTATGATACACGTCTTCTATTGTAATTATACGTACAAGTCAAATATCGTCCGTATCGTATACAATCGAGAACGACAGGAGCGGTGCACTTGGACACGGTACATTTGGACACAACCAATCACAGCACCGTATGATTAGAGACATTTGTAGGATCCCTTGGAACAGCGACTTGTGATTGGACTGTGTCCAATTGCCCCGTGTCCAACTGATATACACCCGAGAACGACAGGTTTCCTTTGTACAATAAAGAACTTTGAGTTTCTCCCATCGTTAATACACCATAAATTATAACAGATTTCCAGATTTTTTCATGATAAATTCCAACAAAATGGTAGGACACAATAAGTCTCTAAGAATTCTATCATAGTAACGATTTAATATCCTCCTAATAGTGCACGATAGAAAACAATTTGATTTCTTGAGGATTCGGTACATGCAAAGGATACGATAGAGAAACAATTACGATAGAGAACAGTTAGATTCTGTGCAAATCCTTTCAGTTTCTACAGTTTTCTTTGTTTCTATTTTTTTTAATCATAGGAACACATTACGGTTTTAATGTGAGCTGTCTTATAAAATAATTTTTTAAGTGTAATCGCGCGCTGTAATCGTAATCGAATCTCACCAGAGAAAATCTTAAAAATTATAAAAAAATAATATAGAAAACTTTTTTTTAATTGTATTTTACAAGTATTTATGAGTATTTATGAGAAAGCACTTATGAGAAAATTATTCCTATGAGTAATTATGAAAAATTATAAGAAAACTTTCTACCAAATATTTAATTGAAGAACCTACGAAATGACAGGATCTGCACACAATCTGCCGTCAAAGTCTATCGACAATGCGAAATGACAGGATCTGCGCACAATCTACCGCCAATCAGATGTCAGAGTCTGTTAGTAGACACTGTCAGCAGTTTGACGGCAGACTGGGGACGCAGATGTCTATGGATCTGTCGACAGATCCTGCTCGAATTCGACAGATTCTGTCGCCAATTTGATGTCAGTTTGCGCATAGATTGCTTATTGGGTATATATATATATATA